GTTAAATATTACTAAATGTAAAAATTATTTCATTATCTTAATACAAAAATACAAAAGTTTTAAATAATTTCTCAATGCCAATATTTAAAAAGTTTATATGAACATTCTACTGACTTTTTAATTTCGCCGGCAGTATAACTTAATTTCGGCTGGAGACTTTATCGTATTAAACGATCCATTTTCAAAAGAAACATTTCGATTTACACATACTGCCCTACTATGGAGAAAGGCAGTAACTGCTAAACAAGAAATTTGTGTAAAATTAGCATACCTAAACTACATTTTTATAAAAAGCAGTAGGTATTTAATTGATTTTTTTAGCTTATGAGATATTTGACTGCATTTCATTTTTGTTTACGATTTTATGGTGTTATTTACAAGTTTTAACAAACATTTTTTAAAAAACAATAAAAAATAAGTTATCTAGTTTAGGAAATATCAATTATTACTTATTACATACCTTAAATTAATGGAATTTTCTTTAAAAAAATATTTATAAATTTTGACACGTCAGATTTTATGAATTGTCAAATAGTTTCCTTTAATTCGAGAAATAATCTAGACGTATATCACTCAACCTATAAATTTAATCTGTAGGGATAGAACGATACCGATATTGATATCGGTATATCGGCATATCGGCAATTGTTTCCGATTATCGGTATCGTATCGTATCGGCGAAAAAAAATGCGCTTTTCACTCTTCAGTGCATAAATGAAATACTGTCGTAGGGAAATGTGTATAGTTTTTAAGAAATACATTTTCGCCATTAACTGGAATTTAATGGATTTTAAACAATACTTAGTTTTTATTTGCAGAAATGCATTAAAACAAAACAAACGAATTCGATAAAAATAAAACCTATAAATTCTTAATCCCTACCACAGTGGGCGGGGTTTGGCACTTGTTTTATTTAAGTGTATCTATTCGTTTTAATACACACTGTATAAGGGGCTTCCCAGAAATCCGAAATGTCACTCACTACCAATCACAAACGTTTCCTCGCAACGGAATTAAAACGGGACTTCCCTGATTTTTGCTTTGGTCGTGTATAAATAGATGGCATTATGTTTGCCGATACGATATATCGGTATATCGGCACGTAAATATCGGTATCGGCCGATATATCGTATCGGCAAAAAAAAGTTATATCGTTCTATCCCTATTAATCTGCCAAACTATGCTCAGTAAGTTTTTTATTTGATTTTTCTTTTTGGAAAATAGTTTCATGCAAAATAATTAAAAATAAAACCCCTCGACCGCTACGCGGTCTCGTGATTTTATTAAATTATTTTGCATTCAAGATTTTCCAACAAAAACCAAACAAAAAAGTTTTTTGAAAAAACTACTGAGCCTAGTTTAACCGATTAAATTCATAGTTCTCGTGATATAATATATGAATAATCATTTTACTTATACCCTTTACTTTATCACATTCCAATTCTTTCTTTAGAAGTTACCTAATTTAAAATTGTTTACTGTTAAATTAAAATTGAGCCTTTCTTCATGCTTCAGCACATTTTTAATTCATGAATACCTTTTTTGTCAAGACATTTGCCAGGTTTTGTTAAAGGGCTAAAGGCGGATTTTATAATAAATTAATTTTAATTAAATTTTTTGTTTTAACTCCCTAACTATGGTAAACTATACCTAATACCCTATCATTTATATAATACTCTCCACCACTAATATCGGGAGGCTTTGGATACTTAAAATTACATTAAAAAGAAATTAAGTCCGATTATTCATTTTAAAAGAAAATAAAATAAATGTTTTTAAACTACCTACCTCAAATTTATAAAGTACAAGACTGTACATTTGCAGTTTGGAAATAATGAATCATTTAAACTAAAACTTTTATACTATGCTGCCATGGGCTGATAACAACAGGAAATAACATAAAAATGATAAAGATTTTATTAAAAATTTAAATAATAACTATTTAACTAAGAAACACAAAATCTGCTTTATTTAGGTATACAGGTTGCACCAAGTATCATTCTATGTATGAGTATCTTTTTTATTTGAAGAGCTATTTGTTAATACAAAATAATTATTTATAGGTATTATTATTATAATAATACTACCTATAAAAAACTAAAAAGTTGTTGAAAGTAAAAAACGATTAAAAACTAAACAAAGCTTAAAAAAGTATCCTATGTTACTCTCCGGCTCATAGGTATACTTGAAATATCGATGCAAAAAATGGGACAATGGAACGTATCATATTGTGAAATGCCCTTAGTTTTATTTTTTTCACTGTCACTGTTTTGGTTTTTTAGGTTCAGGAGAAATGTTAATTTTTTTGTGTGGGACAAATAGACCTACCTTTTCTTTTTGTTATTTTTTTAAGTTACGACTTAATAAATAAGTTAATACAAGGTTGATGGGGATATACTTTATTTTACATTTTTTTAATAAGTTAAAATAATTATTTTATTAATATTAATAATTATTAATTTCATCATTATTATTTAATTAGAGATATTTAAATGAATATGTAATAATCACAATCCACACAACAAACCTGTTTTATCTTGTTTCGTCCATACTAAAAATCACTTCAACACTGCACAGAATCAAACGGCGGCCCTTTTTATGTTTATACGGATTAAAAATCGTTTTAAACGTTGTGTTTCTTACAGAGGCACTAGTAAGTAAGGCCTTTAAGTGCTAAGAACAACAATTTTAAACCTTATTCTATCAGGGCTGTCATCAAACTATTAAATTTAAATTTGTGGGTTTTGGTAAATTAACATTAAAATTGAAATTTGAAACGATTATAAATCTGTATTAGGGCCACCAATTTTCCCTAAAAAAGAATGTCTCAACTAACCTAACTAAAACACTGACAGTGACAATGTCAACCATATAATTAAGGTCTTTTTACACTACGATTTCTAATATTAAGCTTCACATAATAGTTCTCCTACCTCTAATAATAATTCTGCTAAAACACGCCTGTGATTGGCTACTTTATTTTATTAATAATAATGATGCGTCTCATCGAAAAACGGCAAAGACTATTCGACTTAAAACCCCACCCTCTATCTACCCTTTCTGCTGTCCTTGACTTTTAAGACACCCTGTATATCAATAGATAACTTCTGTGGGTAAAAGGCATAAGGGGATAAGTCAAAAAAAGTATATTACACTACAAGGGCAGAAAGTATGAGATTCCTGCACTGCGCGCCATCATGGCGCACACTTCAGGGCTCTCACACTTTCTGCCCGTGTAGTGTATACTATTTTTCTTACTACCTCGGCCGAAAATACAACCCGGCCGAAAATACGGGAAAAAATTAAATGTGTATATCGAAACATATTGATGCCTGCCCAAATTTTGAGGTTATATTAGTGTCAAAATCAGAGTTGCATATGTTGAGCACACGACTAAAAAATTTTTACTCCCGCTATTATAGAGTGTGCGTGTATAGCTTGACCAATGCAAGAAACGTAAACTTTCTGCCGTGAAATCGGGGACGAAACAACGTATTTTCAGTCGAGGTAGTAAGAAAAAGTTATTTTTCAGTAGAGCCTTAATAGTATTCGCATTAATTCAGAAATAGTATATTCTGTAACAAGTTTCGAATTGCTTATTCCCCTCTCGTGAAACCGTCAAACTCGCCTTCGGCTTGTGTGACAGACTTTTCACTCGAGCGGAATAAGCAATTCGAAACGTGTTTCAGACTACACTTTTTCTACGTTTTCAAAAAATACCATAGACAAATAATTTAATTGGAAGAAAGTGAGGTTGGATTGGTCTAAAATTTGTTAGATATTAAAAACACAGATAGAATATTTCATTCTGTAACACTTTACGGAATAAATGTCATTCCATAGATAAAAGTGATATTAGAACGGTCATATTCCATAATAGAAGTAGAAAAACATATTTTGGGTATAGTTGTCGCGGCGAATGTTTCAAATTGCGTCATCAAATTCTGAACCAAGCAGTTAGTTTTTCGTGTCGCCTCACCCAAATCTAGGGACCCTATAGTATTATTTATGTAAACGCCATCTATCGCCCTGCACTACCACTTTCACTTGATGCAATGATTTTAGCTTTTTTATCTATGACATTGATAACCGTTCCCGATCAACTGATTGATGACGTGTACGTCGTTTCCTTTTAAATTTACTATATCTCAACTAGAAACAAAACATTTTCCGTCTCGTATTTTAAGCTACATAGAGCATATGCATTCCTTTTTTATGTATCCGCTTTATATTATCTTCACTGGTAACTACGAGTATGTCCACAAATCTGGGAAGTCCATTTTAACATCCCCCAAACTGATTGATCTGAAATCTTAAATACACTTTTGGAGCTGGTGACAATATGATTTAGTATACTCAATGGTAATTTATTTAAAATGGCCGCCGCTTTAAGATTGCGGACTAACTTGATCCCTTGATATTGGTATTAAATAAAAGCCCAGACAGCAGCGGTGCATCGCACAAAAAACAAACGACGCGCGGACTCACGCATGCGCGTTATTACGCATTTTAAAATGAAGTCACGATTCATGCATTTTTGGATCTCGCACGCGTGCTTGCGTATACTCATTTACAGTGAAATCACTTGTGCAAGTTTAAATATTTGAGCGTGGGAAAGTGATTTTTTAACTGTTAATCATTATTTATAATTTACCTATTTCTTTAAAAACCCATTGAAATGGGTACCTATAAAATAAAATGTATTATTAAACAGATTAAGTGATTAAGTGTCTTTTAAATCTAATATAACGGCCACCCCAAGATGATGAGTTACCTATTTCTTCATAGCCCCCTTGACATGGGTATCAATTGAAAGTGTTTGTCAAGCAGAATACGTGACGTCATTTTAATTTCAATATGGGGTATATAACTAAGTAAATTTTTAGACTAAAAGCTAAAAAATCATTAATGGGTTTCCCACGCTTTAACGCACTAAAAAGTAAAATTTGACTTTTATTTTATGTATTAGACAAATATATTTGAATTAAACAATGTGTTACCTTGAATTTGTCGATGAGAATTTGGTTAAATAGTTCGGAATGGGGTCGGTTGAGTTTAGGGTGGGAGGTGCGCCATCTGATGGTGGGCGGACTATCTGTTTCATCGGTGGCTTGCTGGTCGGTGTCGTGTGACTCGGAACTGTCTCCACCGCCGCCTGTTGCTCTGCCGCTGCAGCCGCCTCCGGACACCATCTGAAATAAGTACATTTATACAACATTTTTATGGCTTCATGTCATTCGTTCTATTGATTGGAAATCCGTAAAGTTGAGCCAATATAAAAGTTATTTTAATAGGGATTTATGTCCTAAAACGCTTACTCTTTAAGATACAGTTACTTACCCGGACAACATTTGTGAGTATCATACGAATATCACACGTGAGAAATGAAAATCATGTCTTGATTTTGTGTTATCAGTGTTTGATTTTTTCTGCTATACGGATATCTTACGGATATCATAAGGATATCACACGTTAGAAATGAAAATCCTGTCGTGATTTTTTATGTCATCAGTGTTTGGATTTTTGCGCCACGGATCAAACGGATATCACAAGTAAGAAATGAAGATCATGTTTTGATTTTGTATGTTATCAGTGTGAATTTAAATTTTGAAAAAAGGTGGCATGTGATTTTTACAGTAACAGTTACATTTCGACTGTCTTTAATGGTGTGAGTATAAGTTTAATGAATGAGTGTAAAATATAAGTGACTTATTTGACCCAGGAGAGACAAAGTCGGGGGCTGGTCGTAAAAATACGATCGTATTCATTGATACTATTACTTGCTTTATCTTTTAGCAGGGCCTTAAGGGATTTATCCAAACAATTTAGTGGATGTTTGAAGATTCCCTTGGAAATACAAGTTTTGTCTAATGGATCTCTCTGAAGCCACTGGACGTAAATACTGGTGGCTGGTCAGTAAGAGTAAAATTGAAATCAAGACCAATTCTCTCAGGTTGGCAGATATATATATATATATATATATATATATATATATATATATATATATATATATATATATATATATATATATATATATATATATATATATATATATATATATATATATATATATATATATAAAATAATAAGTACTATACCTCCAATGCACTATACATATTAGTATTGTAGAATCAAAAGCAGACATGTCCTTTGCTCTGCAAAGCAAAAAGATGTGAACTACTGTATTACATAATAATTAAGCAATAATTATTGCATTTGGAACATTTGTGCTTGGGTAGAGGACACGTCCCCTTTTGATTCTATAGTATTCGTATATATTATATTTTATTTTTATTCTGTAAAATAATAGCTTCTAAACTATATAAACTTCACATCAAAATTAACGCACCACTAAAATTTGGCACAATTTCAAAGTTAATTTTCTCGCAAACTGTTGAATCGATTTGGATTTTCTTTTTAAACTGCAGCTTAAATCTTTAGGAATGACTTTTCATTTAAATCGAAGTTTTAGGCAGGGTGTTTTCACAAGTTCACTGCTCACGTATATATCCGTCATAGGCTACGTTTGCCGGGTGCGCGTGACGGATCCATGCGTCATGGGTCCATTGTTTCAAGTGTGAAAACATACTTAGCACTGCGGCAATCGAGCTCATTTAACATGAGCGTGGTCGTAAGTGTTTGAGGAATTAAAAAATATGTTTGGTTGAGTTAGTGATAACAGCGAATTGCCAAACTGAATTTTAAAATAAACGATCAGCTCCTGGACCTCGGGCCTGTGTTAAAAGAAACCAGTTTGTTGTCTAATTTTTGTCACACCAATAGATGCCTATCCAAATCAAAACATGGCCCCATCCTTTCTGAGCATTTTGTTTTTTATTCATGTTTTTAGCTCTGTTATTTAATGAAATACTGAATTTGTCATGGAAATAGAGGTTATTTAATGAAATACTGAACTTAATGTCAAATGCAACTTTGCCAGATTGCAAGAAAAGTTATAACCGTCAGGAAATCTAAGTAGGTCATGGAAAACAAAGGCGCTATATTGTCATGGAAACTGTCTGTCAGTGTTATTATTGTGTATTTTCTCTGCATTTGTGTTATCACCCATAATATAACAAGTGGTATGATTATCGTCGATGATATTTTCGAATTGAAACCGAGCTGCAGATTTCACGAGTCCGCAGGACGAGTGAAATGTGCTGCTTCGGTTTCATTGAGTAAATATCATCGATAATTAATCATACCACGAGTTATATTTAGTGAGAAAATATAATGAATTTTAGGATTTAACGAATTGTTAGTCTGGCATTTGAAATTAAAATGTGCTTTAAAATATAAAAAGACTTTAATAAACCTTATTTATTCAAACTTACCTTAATTTTATTATCGTTTACACCAACCCATCGATCTTTTATAGTTTATAATTCATTATTTTATTCATTTAACAAACACAGTATTTAAATGTCAACAATTGTCAAATCAAGAAAGTGTCAAAATCCTTAGCAACGTGTAAACAAGGTGATAAAAAATATTGCCGCTGTGATAAAATGCGTAACTATGGAATACTGGCATTTTATTGGTTCTAATTATAATGAATTGTATTGTCATTGCAAAAAATGAAGCGTCAAACAAGAAATTTAACTCGAGATGTAGATAGAAGACGGGTGTTTCTCATTCGACAATATTTAGCCGTTTTCAAGAAACCAATGACCACAACACTGCCGTGCTTAATGAAAACGCCGTAACCAACAATTTTGCAATTTTTGGTTTACGGCATTTTCTACTAGAAAAATTCATCCTGCGTCTATCCCCGGTACTCAAAAAACCGTATCTATATATATACGGTTTTTTGAGTACCGGGGATAGACGCAGGATGAATTGTTCTAGTAGAAAATGCCTTAAACCAAAAATCGAAAAATTGTTGGTTACGGCGTTTTCATTAAGCACGGCAGAACAGGCGCCGTGGACAAGGAAGAACTCGGGGAACAACGGCTATCCATGACAGATTTTTGCAACTGAATGCTTTGAGGCAACGTTTTGTGACCTCAAGACATCTATGGGTACAATTAAATACTGTTCACAATATCTACGTAAGTGTGTCAAATGTAGACGTCTTGCAGAAAGGAATTTAAGGTTCAAAATTCCAGCAAGAGGACCAAGGTTAAATGCAGACCATATCCGAGTCAATTTTCCAGGGAACATGTAAACTGGGCTGCTGAAGATTGGGAGCGAGTTTTGCTTACAGATGAGGCAAGGTTCTGTCTCTATGTAGTCCCTTTCGCTGGGTATATTGGGGATAACTTTTTACTAATGCAAGACAACGCCAGACCACACACTGCGAGAATAGTGCGAGATTATTTAAATGAGGTGGACATTGATACACTAGACTGGCCTCCACTCAGTCCAGATCTCAATCCTATAGAACATTTATGGGATCAAATGGGAAGGCAGCTAAGAGATCATCAACCCCTACCTGCGTCTTTGGATGATGTAGAAAACTTTGTTCGAGAAATATGGGTTAATATCGATCAAGAAAAAATAAGACGTCTGGTTCAAAGTATGGGTCGTCGATGTCAGGCGGTAATAGAGAGTAGGTGACGAAACACCCGATATTGATTTGTTTTTATTTTTTAAATAATTTTGTTTTTGTTTTTTTTAACTTTCGAAACTTTTTCATGAAAAATCTTTAATAAATGCATTTGACATTAAATTCAGTATTTCATTAAATAACCGAGCTAAAAACGTGTTAAAAAAACAAAATGCTGAAAGGATTGGGCTGTTTTGATTTAGACAGGATGCGACAAAAATTAGACAACAAACTGGTTTCTTTTAAAACACCCTGTATATGCCTAAAACTTCGATTTAAATGAAAAGTTGTTTCATAGAGTCATTTCTGAAGATTTAAGCTGCAATTAAAAAAAAATGTCCAAATCGATTCAGCAGTTTGCGAGAAAATTAACTTTGAAATTGTGCCAAATTTTAGTGGTGCGTTAATTTTGATGCGAAGTGTATAACATTTATGTGATTTTTCCTACGTATTCTTTATTTCTTTGGTAAACATACACAAAAATCATGTATGTTGACCATATAACAAATTTTGGACAAGGAATAGAAAATTAAACATCGATGATGTTTACACTTGCGGAAATTTTCTTTGTCGTTCTCTGCTATTTTCTGCCTTTATATGCCATTCAGAATGGCCCATTCTTCTTCTTTTGTTTACAACAACTCTGACGGTTCTCTGACACCACATTTTGGCAGAAAAGCAGCAGGGAGACGGCAGAGAAAACTGCCATTTTCTGCCGTTTCTCTGCAATTATCTCCCTTTTCTCTGCTACTACTTTTTGGCAGAGAATTACAGAAAATTGAAGAAAAATGTAAAAACATGTATGTTGAGAAATGAACGAAATAATTGAAAGGAAATAGGCATGTATAAACTTGTTTGGGATGACGCCCTCGATATGATATTTTTATACATTAAACACCGAAAAAAATAATGTAGTTGAGTTAACATTTGCCTAAATGTCATTTTTAAAAATGTTGTTTCAACAAAAAACCTATTGGATTAATCTATATTTTGGTGTTAAAGCAAAAGTCAGAGTTTGTCAAAGTTTATTTGTTCATTTGACAGTTTAAATATTAATTTAACATAAACTAATATTTTGAATTAAAATGTTTATCGTACTTTGATTTAATAGCTGGAATTTGTTGAATCAACTACTGAAATTTTTAGGATTACCTAAAAAAACTATTAAATTAACGTTTAGTTGCTCTTTAATCCAAAACTTTAAATTTGTTCATTTAACAAATTTAAAATGTAAAATTTGCATTCATAAAATTGCCGAGAATGGCGCTTCGAACACTCACGCCACGTCATTAGACAATGACGTTTTCTTACATCTCGCCTTAGTTAGCTTACGATTAGGTGTATATAAGATGAGATATCTGTTTGTTTAAGGTGTGTTCCACAGTAGAACTTTCACTACACCATATTGCCCGACACTGTTAAGACCCTCAATACAGGGCGAAACAGTCTGTCGGTATTTGAAGTAGGTGGAACACATGATACAAAGATGTATCATGGGTGGAACACGCTCAAAACAAAAACTCTGGGCGAGGTGAAGGTTCAATTCTTTCTAATTATATATAATAATATATTATTTCCATAATTTTGTTTTGGATACCAACCTTTAAAGAATTTTACATTTTCAGAATGTTAATTTAACATTTT